AAGGAAGGAAGGAAGGAAGGAAGGAAGGAAGGAAGGAAGGAAGGAAGGAAGGAAGGAAGGAAGGAAGGAAGGAAGAAAAGAAAGACCAACCAGAACAATACAGTGAACTTTTAGAAGGAGAGAACAAATCTAAGGATACTAGAGATGGGGGGGGGCAGGGGGGGGGTCTGGGAAGGGATAGGTTGGGTAAAGGACATAAAGAAAAATCATGATTTGTTATAATGAACATGCACATAAGAAATAATAAAAAATATTTAAAAACATAAAAAAAGAAAGATCAGAGAAAAAATAAATGAATTAAAGATTAAAAATACAAAAGATCAATGAAACAAAGAGCTGATTTTTCAAAAAGATAAATGAAATCAATAAACCAGTAATGCACAAAAAGAGAAGACTCAAATAAATAAAACCAGAAATGAAAAAGGAGACATTACAACTGATACCATAAAAATGCGAAGGATCACAAGAGACTGCTATGAACAAATATATGAGAACAAACTCGGAAACCTAGAAGAAATGGATAAATTCCTGGATACATACAACCTACCAAGGGTGAACAATGAAGAACTAGAAAACCTAAAAAGACCAATAACAAGTAATGAGATTGAAGCAGTTATTAAAGGTCTCCCAACAAAGAAAAACCCAGGAACAGATGGCTTCACTGCTGAATTCTACCAAACATTTAAAGAACTAATACCAATTCTTCTCAAACTCTTCCAAAAAATTAAAGATTATGGAATACTTCCAAACTCAGTCTACAAGGCCAACATTAACCCCATACCAAAACCAGCAAAAGACACAACAAAAAAAGAGAATTAAAGACCAATATCCCTAATGAACACATTATACATCACATCAACAGAATGAAGGAATAAAACCATATGATCATTTCAATAGATGCAGAAAAAGCATTTGATAAAAATCCAACACCCCTTCATGATAAAAACACTCAACAAATTAGGTACAGAAGGAATGTATCTCAACACAATAAAGACCATATATGACAAACCCACAGCTAATATCACACCAAATGGACAAAAATTGGAGGGTTTTTCCTCTAAGATCTGGAACAAGATAAGGACGTCCAGTTTCCCCACTCTTATTGAACATAGAACTGGAAGTTCTAGCCAGTACAATAAGGCAAGAGAAAGCAATAAAAGGCATCCAAATTATAAATGAGGAAGTCAAACTATCTCTATTTGCAGATGACATGACTATACACATAGAAAATCTTAAAGACTCCACCAAAAAGTTACTAGAACTAATGGTAATAAATGAACTCAGTAAAGTAGCAGGATACAAAATCAACACATAAAAATCAATAGCCTTCCTGGGCTGGCCCGGTGGCGCACTGCTACAGTGCGACGCTTGGGAAGTGCGGCGGCGCTCCCGCCGAGGGTTCGGATCCCACATACAGACCGGCCGCTCACTGGCTGAGCGAGGTGCGGGAGCAACACCGAGGGTTGCGATCCCGTTGCCGGTCCCGGTCTGGTACGGGCGCGACACTGAGGGTTGCGATCCGTTGCCGGTCACGAAAAAAGACAAAAAGGGAAAAAAAAAAAAGAAAAAATCAATAGCCTTCCCATATGCCAGTAATGAAATAGGTGAAGAAGAAATCAAGAAAGTAATCCAATTCACAATAACTATCAAAAAAAATGAAATACCTAGGAGTAAATTTAACCAAGTGGGTGAAAGACCTCTATAATGAAAACTATAAAAAAACTGAAAAATGTTGAAGGTGACACAAATAAATAGAAAGATATTTCATGTTCTTGGGTTGGAAGAATTAACGTCATAAATGTCTATTTGATTCAAAGCAATCTACACATTCAATGCAATCCCTATCAAAATATCAATGACATTCTTCACAGAAATAGAAAAACAACCTTAAAATTTGTATGGAACCACAAAACATCTTGTATAGCTAAAGCAATATTGAACATAAAAGAACAAAGTTGTAGGCATCACAGTTCCTGACTTCAAAATATACTATAAAGCTACAATAAGCAAAACAGTATGGTCCTGGCATAAAAATAGTCAAATAGACCAATAGAACAGAACAGAGAGCCCAGAAATAAACCCACACTGTTATAACCAACTGATTTTCAACAAAGGTGTCAAGAATATGCAGTAGAGAAAGGACAGACACTTCAAAAAATGGTGCTGGGAAAACTGGACATTCAGATGCAGGAGATTGAAACTAGACCCCTATCTCTTACCATACACAAAAAATCAACTCAAAATGGATTAAAGATTTCAATTTAAAACCTGAAACTAATTGAAGAAAACACAGGGAAAACGCTACATGAAATGGGAGTGGGTAGTGGTTCTTTGCGTGAGACTACAAAGGCACAGGCAACTAAAGCAAAGATACACAAATAGAAGTACATCAAACTGAAAAGCTTCTGCCCAGCAAGGGACACTATTAACAAAGTAAAGAGACAACCTACAAAATGGGAGAAAGTATTTGCTATACATCAGACAAGGGGCTAATATCCAGAATATACAGGGAAATCAATTCAACAACAAAAAACAAATAACCAATTAAAAATTGGGCAGGGCCGGCCCGGTGGCGCACTGGATAGTGCGCCGCTTGGGAAGCGCGGTGGCGCTCCTGCCCGAGGGTTCGGATCCCACATGCAGACCGGTTCCCGCTCACTGGCTGAGCGAGGCACGGGAGCAACACCGAGGGTTGCGATCCCGTTGCCGGTCCCCAGTCCGGTACGGGGGCAACACTGAGGGTTGCGATCCGTTGCCGGACACGGAAAAAGACAAAGGTGGCAAAGGACCTGAAAAGATATTTCTCAGAAGAAGACTACAAAGGGTCAACAAGCACATGAAGGGAAATGCGAATTACAACCACAAGATGTCATCTCACCCCAGCTATAACGGCTACTATCAACAAGACAGAAAATAACAAATGCTGGCAAGGATGTGGAGAAAAAAGAATTCTTACATTGCTGGTGGGAATGTAAATTGGTACAGTCATTGTGGAAAACAGCACAGAGGTTTCTCAGAGAACTAAAAATAGATCTACCTTATGATCCAGCTATCCTGCCATTAGGTATATACCCAAAGGAAATGAAATCAACACATCAAAAAGACACCTGCACTCCCATGTCCACTGCAACACTATTCACAATAGCCAAGAAATGGAATTAAACTAAATGCCCATCAACAGATGAATGGACAAAAAAATTGTGGTATATATACACAATGGAATACTATTCAGCTACAAAAAGAAATGATATCCTATCATTTGCAGAACATGGATGGAAATGGAAACCAACATGTTAAGTGAAGTAAGTCAGGCACAGAAAGACAAAAAATGCATAATATCACTCACGTGGAATCTAAAAAAAAAAAAAAATAGTGATTCTTTTAGAAGTAGAGAGTAGAATAATGGTTACCAGAGGCCAGAAGGGGAGAGGGATTAGGGGCAGGAGAAGTTGTGGACTACTGGGTACAAAACTATGCTATGTACCCCTAAGTGAGCCACTGTGCAGTATATGCATGTACTGAAAATAGCACACTGTACCCCACAAATACGTACAAGTAAATGTTAAAATTTAAAAAAAATCATGCTCTTATGATATACAAGATAAATTTTAAATATTAAATAAAAGTGAAAATAGTCATCACTACTACAGAAAGCTTCTGGAAACACTTATGGAAGTAAAGCATTCTCTTTAAATACAGGAAAAAAAGGAGATGATATAATTCAGAAGAAATCATGACTGGCTGGCCTGTTAGCTCACATGACTTCTGTGAACAAATAATAGTAAAATCCACTTTTAAGTAGAAATGTATACTATGTTGTACTTATTTATTTATTCATTTGTTTATGTATAATGTTATTCTTATATATTTTGCATTAGTATTTTAAACAGAAGTGAACATTGAAAAAAGCAAATTTTACTCTTCCTTGGTTATGTAAGTCAAAACTTACTTTCTGAATAGCAAACCAATTCCTTATAAACAGAGTAGGATTTGGAGAAACTTATATTAACTTAAATAAAGATTTTTTTTAAAGGGCCCCAAAATGAGCATTTAATTAAAATACACACACATGTACGCACTTTCTTTAGGCTACTGAAATACCAGCTCTTTAATTCCCCATTAAGAAAAAACAAAACCCTGATTATAAGCTTTCAAATCATTTGAAGATATGAAAAGACCATCTGCATTTCAGCTAATCCGAAGCCAAAAGAAATAATTTCTTCTTCTTCCAACTCAAAGTATGTTTAGGAGAAGGACATCTGATAGAAGTGGTAATGCCAATCTAACCAATTGTAAAATATAAAGTGCTTCTAGCAATATTTGGATACATATAATTTGACAAGAAAGTTTTATAAACCTAAGCTTTGAAAAATAGAAACTATAAGCCCCAACAAAAAAACTTAATTTGTAACTGAAAAAAATAATATTTTGTAGAAAAAACTGGTGTCTTTCCAAAAAGAGACAAAAATGACTAACTTTTATTTCCCAAGAGAATTATGCCACTTTTATACAACAAAATTACAGTCACCACAAATTGCTTTCAACAATTCCATTTCTTCTTCATTTGACCACTTGAAAATCAAAATTCTTTCAGATTATAAATATAACTTTTTATAACTCTGTTATTACGTACTGTGAATGGGGAAAGGGGGCCAATCTTGTGGCCATAGCGTCGAACAGCCTCTCTGATGTGGCAGGGCTGGATGGCATCGCTGTGAGCCTCAACACCACAGGCCTCAGTGCTCTGTGACAAAAAAACACATAAATTGTTACTAAATCAAAAACACACAACAGAACTACAGTGTATAAAATATGAAAATAAACCTTTATAAAATAGATCTTTTTTTCCCTTAGGACACACATCACTGCTGCCATATACTACATCCAAAAAAAAAAAAAGTCCCATTAACAAATCAAAGATGACTTTTACATGACCCTTTCCTAGCAGACGTACCAAATGCAATTTTTATGTTCACAATATTTCACCTAAGCCTGCATGTCAAGGTACAAAAGAATACAGCCACTTGTACGCAGATGAAAAGTATCATGGGAGCTTGTTGAAAGAACTGCAGGAAGCTATTTTTTTAGAAACATTAAAACATTTATTATTATAAATGTTTCTTGGGAGCTTCTTGAGTATATTTATGAAATAACTTGAGGGTCATCAATTTAAAATGAAAAAATGTAAACTTGCTACTTATTTATTTATGATACTGGGGACTGTAATAGAAGACCATCTAAACTTGGTTCCTAATTTTCTAGGTGTCCTCAGAACAAAACAAAACCAAAAAATTTTGTATTTTAATCTGGCTCATTTGTAAAAGGCAGGTTTAAAAGCACAAAAAAACACAATAAACCAAAAGATTATTTGCAATGAGAGTATAATATCAACTCAAGAAACGACAAATGTGTGTGTATGTGCATAACACAATTTTTAAAAAAAATTAAAATGCTCAACAGGGGCAGCATAGTCTCATGGTTCATTTACAAGCTCTGACTTCCCAACTACCTTGGGTCCAGATCCCAGTCCTATCCGCTACTAGTTCTTTCAAGTCACATATCTCTGGGCCTCAGTATCCTCATCTGTAAATTGGGGTAAAAATTATAATTGCTTTGTAGGACTGTTGGGAAAATTTAATGAGTTAAAATATACGAACTACTCAGAACAGTGTCGGATACATGTTAACTATTAATAGTAGTAAGGTCTAAAAATGGAACCTCCATGTTCTTGAAATAGTAAGCTAGCTTACTTTAAAGCAAGTAGGTACCTGATACCAAGTTATTAATCTTAAAGAATGAAGAGAGAAATATTCATCGTGGGCATTACTATAACTGTGGTCTAGAAGTCATTTATAATCACGTAATTAATAGTAGTTGTTTTTCTGATAATTACTACAATTTTTCTGGATTACTATAAATTTTTAATCTTAGAATTCCTTGTAGGAAATATAACTCTATGGACAGCAATCTCTATGGATAGCAATTTCACTTATCCTGGAAATATATTACAGAAGTACCAAGCAATACATATGAGGGTACTTCAAAAAGTTTGTGGAAAAACAGAATTAAAAGATAATATGAATCTTTCCATGAACTTTTTGAAGTACTCTTGTATATAAGGATTATTTATTACAGTACTATCTGGATTGATGAACTAAAATGTCCATCAATGAGTGATTGGTTAAATAAATTATAATACATCCATTCAAAGAAACAGAAATCACAGCAACCACCAAAAAGTATAAGAAAAGAATAGTAAATTCCATAATACTTCTATGAAGCTATCTCTAAGACATACAAGGGTACTACAAAAATTTCACAGGAAGATTTGTATTATCTTTTAATTCTATTTTCCATGAACTTTTTGAAGTACCCTCATATTATGTGAAAAAAATGCAAGGTATCCAATCAGGTAGTACCGTGTTATTATTTGTTAAAAAAAAGGCTAAACATTGTATATTCGTTTAAGCAGAGAATATCTCTGCAAGGGTACACCCAAAATCAGTAAGAATGGTTATCTCTCAGAGGGTAAATGGGTGGCTGGAGGACAGGGGTTAGGAGGAGACTTTTCATTGTATACCCTTCTGTAGTTTTAAAATATACTTTTTGTACCACGTGCACGCTTTCCCTATTACAAACTAGTAAAACAATTTCAAATTCCTACAAGAGTGTCTGCTAATTATCCAAGTTGACCCTGAAACAAAACCTAAAATATAAAACAAAACACATCTTGATCACTGTTATTATTTTTAAAAGATTTGAAATAAGCTGAATAGGAATTTACTCTAGGGTATCTTCCACAATTTCATTCCAATAATACCCTAAATAACATGTCTGCTGTGCCTGTAATAACACAGATTAAGTTATTTTAACCCTCTCTTTGGCACTGATATAAAAGTGCACAGGGTTTCTTTGAGTGCTTTCTCAATTCTTATTCCAAATTCTTTTGTTTTAATTGGAATATATTAGAATAAATGCAATTATCAGGTAGCCAGATGAGGGTCAAGACTTTTTGCAAATCCATTCTGCTCCACACTATGAATGTGACTAATACAGACTCATTCACCTGCTAGTATAACAGATACTTGTGAAGTAGTTTGAGGCATTCTATCCATTCATGGAAATGCATGCAAATATTTAGCTGTATTTGAAATCTAAAGGTAGTCTTCCAGTGGAAACTCAAGTGGAAATACAGAGAGACATCAAGAGGGTCAATAACCTATGTACTGAGTGAGGTGAGAAGTCCTTTCTGTGTGTTCCTACATGGCATCTCCTAAATTCACTTCTTCCTCCCTGCAAATCGGATTTTTTACAATTCTTTTCTCCATGGCCAATAAAGACCATTCTTTTCCTCTACATTTATGCATAAATTTGGTTTTGGTATAGAACATTTTCGTCAAAATCTCTCAGGACCTCTGGCATGGCAATCAAATAGAATTTGGGAACACTGAAGGAGGATGCTGCTATGGTCTGAATCTTTTTGTTCTCCCAAAACATGTTAAAATCCTAACCCCAAGGTGATGGATTAGGATGTGTGGCCTTTGGGAAGTGATTAATTCACAAAGACGGAGCCTTCATGAATGGTATTAGCATCCATTTAAAAGGGTCCTGAGAGTGACCCCTCACCCCTTCTCTACCATGTGCAGTTAGAGTGAAAAGATGACTTGGAACCAGGAAGTGGGTCCTCAATAGACACCAAATCTGCCAACACCTTGATCTTAGACTTCCTTAGCCTCCAGAACTGTGAAAAGTACATTTCTATTTTTTATAAGGCATCCAGTTTATAGTATTTTGTTATAGCAGCCCAAAAAGACTAAAGTAGAAGCATAAGTTGGAAACTACCTTGTGATTGCTATATGAGAGATATGGAGATAAGTAAGTCAGCCTGCTTGAATCATGTTATCTTTACCAAAAAGGTGAAGCTGACATACATAAAAATAAAAATATTCAATTTAATGAAAAATGTCAGTAGATTTTTCATTTTGCCAATTTCAGGTTCATCTGCTATAATTAGGCAACTGGTAACATTAGCATGAATAAAGTTACCATGTGCACTTCTACACTTTGATTTGCCCATTGAGTTCTTTGGAAGAAAGGCTTTAAATCTAAAATGTTATATTCCCAGTATTTTTTCCACCTCAACAAATATCTTCATGTCCCTTTATTCTGTCAGTATCCAGTCCCTTACCAAGGTGCTTATAATCTTTTTTAATTAAAAACTTATCCCAAGTTTAGAAATTTTAGTTTAGCAGTGATTCTAGCATTTTTATAATATTCTTCAAAATTGTTTCTGAAGGATTAACATTAAACTTAAATATCTGTTCTCCATTTAAAAAAAAATTTTTATCATTAGCATATTCATTATTACAAATCATGATTTTTCTTTTTTTTCTTTTCTTTTTTTTTTTTTTGTCTTTTGTCTTTTTTTTTTCCGTGTCCGGCAACGGATCGCAACCCTCAGTGTTGCCCCCGCACTGGACCGGGGACCGGCAACGGGACTGCAAACCTCGGCGTTGCTCCCGCGCCTCGCTCAGCCAGTGAGCGGGAACCGGTCCATATGTGGGATCCGAACCCTCGGGCGGGAGCGCCGCCGCGCTTCCCAAGCGGCGCACTATCCAGTGCGCCACCGGGCCGGTCCCAAATCATGATTTTTCTTTATGCCCTTTACCCGACCTACCACTCACCAAACCTTCTCTTTTACTTCCCCCATCTCTAGTATCTTTAGGTTTGTTTGCTCCTTCTGAAAGTTCAACGTATTATTTTGGTCTTTTTCTTTCTTTCTTCCTTTTTTCCTTTCTTTCTGTCTTTCTGTCTGTCTTTCTTTCCTTATTTCTTAGCACCCAGTTATGAGTGAGAACATGTGGTACGTCTCTTTCCTTGTCTGGCTTATTTCACTTAATGTAATTTTCTCCAGACTCATCCATGTTGTTGCAAATGGCAGAATTTCATTCTTTTCTATGGCTGAGTAGTATTCCACTGTGTACTGTTCCACATTATTAATAATCTTATATCTGCTATAAATATATGTGAAGAGTGTTAGATTTATTTATCAATTCACCTTTCCCATCCTGATTATGCCCACATTTTAGGATATTCTTGAAATTTCAAAAACTAAACCCACATATTTGACAAAATGCTGAGTCTGTTGTCTATAGAATATTTGCAAAAATCTTTGTGGGGCCTAACTCTATGTTTACTTAAGTAAAGTGCGAGCTGTTTGGTAAGGTTCTTCTCCATATGTCAGGTTCTCTTCCTCTTGGCTGCATTCATACTCCACTCCTGTATCCTTCCATTTTGCCTTTATTCATGTCTTTTCATCCAGAAACTGATGCTGGGTACTAGATGCTGAAGTATCCACATGGAGTCCTACACATTTCCTGCATCTGGCTATTGTTCCTCTGCTTGTCTTTGCTGGTTTGCATTGAAGAAAATCTCTCTACAGTTTGAACGCTGAACTGTGATAAAAGGAAGTCATATTGAAATTTCTGTCACTCCTGGATATCCAACAAATGTCTGTACCTGTTCTGACTCTCTTCCTCCCAACATGAAAAATTCTTCACAGGGTAAGAATGTCCTATCTTTTCTAAGTTTCCCCCTTACCAGAGTCAACATCTAAGAAGGACCTGGAATCTCAGACAATTGCCTCTTATTCTTTCCACATGGTGAACTAAATCTTTTGCTAAACTTGAAATCTTAAATCTTACAGAAGAGTAACACATGTCTCCAACTAGAGTGAATGAAAGGTTAATATGACTTTATTAATAACCTTGTCATTCACTGACCATGAAGGCTGATATATATAATCTGGCCAGGGAAGTGTCCTCTTTCTGCTCACTGTTTGCTGTACATACAGCAGTCCCAAAGATTTATCCTTATAGAGGATTTCTTTTGAGATGAAGGTGAGCCAGCCTTTGGCCAAAGGGTACAGTATATAATGTAGTTATTTTGTTTTTATTTCAAAGTTTAATCAAGATGGTAATTGTTAAAATTATAGATCTATATAACTAGAGAAAGCTTTTCTTTAAAGAAATTATAAAAGTTATTTAAGGAGAAGACAAGAGCAAATCACTGAATTGAAGAAGTCATACTTTATTAAATCTGGATGGGACACAAGATATCTATTCTAAACTTTTCTAACTTCTATCCTATTTTACAGATGAGAGTGAAGATAAGGGACATGCCCAAGGTTAACAACGACAGTATCACAGATATGGCTATACATCAAATCTTTTGGCTTTTAGTGCACATAGGTGGTATATAGTGGAGACTTTATTATTTTATATAGAATGAATTGTACCATGATATGAACATAGCTAAAATTTCTAATGAGGAAAAATCAAAATATAGCAAGAGACAGAATATAGAAAGATGTGTATGAACAAGCAGAGAAATAATTAATGGCTTTGAGTGGGCCATTATTAATTCTGATGCCACTAATTTAGAATTTAGAAGAATTTAAATGCTGACTGGGCTAACACGTTACTCAGGAAAACTTTGCCATAAAATAACTCAAATTTGAATAGTTTCAACAAGATCATGAGAGAAATCTTTAAATATTTCAGAGAAAAATTTCAAGAATTTCACAAAAATTATTTTATGTACAATAATTACTAGGTTAATTAAAACTCCTTTCACATACTTTATAAACCAAATCCACTGAAGAGGTCTTCTGGGTAACATTTTGTTACCATAGTTTAGTTACTGGATGAATTGGAAAGTACTATGGCTAAAATTCTTTAAAACTAATTCAGAATACATAAGTTCTTTATAGTTCAGATTTTCCCTTAGTCAATAATCAGTGAGCTTAAGTATAACACTGGGAGTGAATCCTAACATAAACTATGGACTCTGGGTGATAATGTGTCAGTGTCAGTTTATAATTTCCAACAAATGTTGATAATGGGGGAGGCTACACATGTGTGAGGATGGGTATAAGGAAAAAATCTCTGTACCTTCCACTTAATTTTGCTGTGAACCTAAAACTACTCTAAAAAACAATTTTTTTTTTCTTAAAAGACAAAAAAGAAAAAAGAAAAAAAAGAGGAAGAGACACCAGAGTGCTCTCTCTCTCTCTGTGTGCCCATACAGAGGAAAGACCATGTGAGGAAATATCAGGGAGGCAGCCTTCTACAAGCCACCAGGAAGAGAGGCCTCACCCAGAAACCAAACCTAATGACACCTTGGTCTTTGTCTTCCAGCTTTCAGAACTGTGAGAAAATAAATTGCTGTTGTTTAAGCCAAACAACCAAACAACAACAAAAAAAAGGGAGGGGGGGGGAGAAAAATTTATAGGCAAATAAAAATCTTAAGTCTTTTTCATGTATGGTATTATTAAGCTACATTTTCCTCACCTTATCAACCATACTATTTACTGGCCTACAATTCTCTATAATGTCTTTAAAAAATTATGCTAGACTTTGCAAAACACCTTGTTGAAATTCAGATACTGTTTCAAGAGTATTTCCTTTATCTGCTTACCTAGAAACATATCAAACAAGAGGAAAGAAGGCTAATCTGGTATGACTTGCTCCTGGGGAAAAAAAGATATCTCTTAGGAATCACTACTTCCTGTATGTTAGAAAAGTAATCTAGAAATTAACCTGTATTAATATTAAACTTGCTAATCTAGTATGAGGAAACTCAAGCTTAACTAGCTTAGTCACTTATAGGGTTAGTACTCAAGAATTATACTCCTTAAAATACAATGCATTGTGTATTAACCCCATGTATTCCATTTCCAATTCCAATCCACTTGGAATCTTCCTAAAACACCTTTTGAACGCATCACAATTCAGCCAAGAAACTTTCGACTATTCCTTATTAACTCCAACAGTCTGAAACCCCACACAATTGGAAATTAGCATATGATATCTCAAATTGTTTGTTATTTTGCTCTTTTATTTGCTTGTTTGTTTTATGAAATGTTCTCTCTTTGTGAAAATAGATTATATCAGTCTCCAAAGTTCTCCTTTGGGCCCTATTTGGTATAGTCCTTGATGTTGAGGCCCTTGATGTTGGTTGCTGATTTGTAATGTTGATGAGTAAGATTCCTACTTTAGAGTGACCAATCTCTTTGTGTTTTGTCAGGTAATCAAAGGCAAGGAGGAAGACTTCTAGTCTCTCTGAATGTTCATTTTGACTACCAGTCACGGGTGGAGGGGAATCTGCCAGGCCAGGAAAAAAGCCGGAGTCTTATACTAACATATTTTGTCAGGATGCTCTCTGACACTTATGCTTCCACCTCTCAGAGAGCCCAGGAAATCTAGCACACATAGGACATTTTTCCCAAGTGCTGGGTAGCTGGGAACAGCAGCTGTGGTTGCTGAGCAGTTGCCCAGGGCAGTTTGGCCACCCTGGGAGAACCAAGAAAGGTGGGTGGGGGTGGGATAAACAGTTTTCCAAGCCAGGCAAGCAATCACTTGGATGTTAAGGAAAAACTAGGCTTGTTATGTTCACAGTAAATTTCCTCAATTAGAAATGTTACAACAAATTTGTCTGATGTTAATGGAAAGCATACTTACACACATATTCATAAAGTGAACATGCATCAAAGAAAGACATTTTAAAGGGTGTTCTTTGACATCATAATTTGGGTTTGTAACACAAAGAAAACAAACAGTGTTTAATCAACTAAGTAAGCTTCAGGGAGTTTTAAAGTATGTTGACTGATAATGATATATGACCTTTTCCAAGAAAAAAATGGACTTTTTAATTGGCATAAACATTTTAATCCCTGCTTGGGTTCCAAGCCAATCTGGTTTCTCTAAGGGGCATAAAAAGATGTCAAACTGACTTTTAGTTCATAATTAGATGCTACATAGGCATAAATCTTAATATATTTTCTAAGTATCCTAGAGCAGAGATGCTTAAACCTGAGGTCTATAAGGTTCACAGATCCCTTAGATCCATAGAATAGCTTCAGAGGGTCTCTGAACAACATAAAATTATATGCAAAATTTGTGAATGTGTTTATGGAGAAAGGGTTTATAGTTTTCATCATATTCTCAAAGGGGTCTGTGACCTAAAAGAGATTACAACTACTTCTTAGAGACTATTTAAGCCACCATCCTAACCTACAAATGTCAATAGGGAGTAGATGTTTGCAATTAAGGTATAGATATAAAATAGGCTAAGCCACGTTCAGGTTATACATTTCACTCGACTTGATCCAAAACTTACTTCACAATTATATATGTAGATATTAACCTAACCTTGCTGTCTTCTCTACGGTAATTAGATTGAATTATGTGAAATTGCTGTTTTTGTTAGTAAAAAAGGTAAAATATTGGCAAGTACATTCAACATAGTATATTACATTTCTGGTTTTTAGGCACTGCTGCTTAAAGAGAAAATTCTTTATACTAAAAGTGGTGCATAGTAATTATGCAAAGCCTTAAAATTGGCAAGAAGACTTTAAAGTCCCTGTAGGTGGGGATTCTAGCAGCATAAACTGGATCACAAAAGGATATGATTTCCACATGGTAGGGACAATCTAAAAACTGAAGATAAATGGAACCAAGCTTCTTTAAACCATATTTATAAATAAAGCAATAATTGAAATGGAAAGTTAATAATAAATTCCAGGAATTATTATTATGTGAATAATAACACTGTCATCTTTTTTAGGCACAAATAAATAAATTTTTCCAACATTATTCAATCACCTAAACCAGCTCTTCATCTCCCATGGAAATGAGAAGTGCTCTGCAACTATCCCTCTTTCACTGAAGGGATAGGAATGCTAAGTGAAGCATGGAAAAGGTGAAAAATAAAATCACTGTATTAAATGGACTGTCAGGGCCTGACACATAGATGGTAGGTACTTAATAAATATTTGTTTGAATATTGAATATATTAAGATTCTTTACTGAAGGTTATACATCTCTACATAATCTTTTTCAAAGAACTACTAATGTAAATACTAGACATGTGACAAAATCTACAGTTGTGTTAGACAGATTTTTTGACACTTACCTCAGCAGAGTTGTGATAATGAATAAAGGTTGCAGAAATGGCATGGCTGAAGGGGTCCCCTGCCTTGGTTACCATGTCCTGCCTCACAAGAAGAGCCAGATCCACTAACTAGAAGATCAGAGCAATGAAAATAAAGTCACATAGCTGAAATAATCATAAATGCCACTGAAGAGGCAAACTGAAAGCAATACATTTTGAATGTTATTGATTATACTGTCTGCCTAAAAATCTACATTGTGGACATGAGCACACACTTTGGTTGACTGGTAAATGGACCTACCCATGAATACAAATTATATATTCTGACCTTCTAGAGAAGTGGTTCTCAAAATTTATTTCATAATCACTAGGTTTCTGGGCTCCAAGCACAGTGATTCTAATTCTTATGTCTGCTGTAAGGGTGTAGTCCAGGAATTTGCATTTTTTTTTTCCTTTTTGTCTTTTTTCGTGACCAGCAACGGGATCGCAGCCCTCGGTGTCGCGCCCGCACCGCGCTCAACCAGTGAGCAGACCGGTCTCTATATGGGATCTGAACCCTCGGCGGGAGCGCCGCTGCGCTCCCAAACACCGCACTCTACAGAGTGCGTCACCGGGCCGGCCCAGGAATTTGCATTTTTTTTTTCCTTTTTGTCTTTTTTCGTGACCAGCAACGGGATCGCAGCCCTCGGTGTCGCGCCCGCACCGCGCTCAACCAGTGAGCAGACCGGTCTCTATATGGGATCTGAACCCTCGGCGGGAGCGCCGCTGCGCTCCCAAACACCGCACTCTACAGAGTGCGTCACCGGGCCGGCCCAGGAATTTGCATTTTAAACAAGAACCAAGGAGATGCTGATGCTTGTGGTCTAAAGACCATACTTTGAGAAACTCTGTTAGAGGGCAGTGATCTAGGTTTGGGTAAGCACTCAGAAGATCTCACATACCTAGAAAGGTATTTTTCTTTCTTTTTTTTCCTTTTTTTTGTCTTTTTTTGTGTCCAGCAACGGATAGCAACCCTCAGTGTCGCACCCGTACCGGACCGGGACCGGCAACGGGATCGCAATCCTCGGCGCTGCGCCCGCACCTCGCTCAGCCAGTGAGCGGGAACCGGTCTGTATGTGGGATCCGAACCCTCGCGGGAGCGCCGCCGCGCTCCCAAGCGGCACACTGTAGCAGTGTGCCACCGGGCCGGCCCGAAAGGTATTTTTCAAAGCACAAGATAATCTCTAAACAAGGCATATATGGTCTTAGAGTTAAATGTCAAGAAAAAGCATGTGGAGATTCCACTCACGGTAATGATAAAGTTGCAAGAAACAGTCTTTTTTACCCTAATACCCACCAGAGCTGAAAATGCAAAGAAACATGACTCAACTAAATTCTAGAAAATGGTATAACTGTCATAGAAGAAACTCATGATTCTTCTTACTCCTGTAAGAGCAGCAGGTTGAAGAAATGATCATGGACAGAGATAAGGAGAAACCAGCCATGTGTGGCCCAATATGAAAGATTAGAATTCTTACCTGTGCCACAGTTTCATATGCTAAATATGCTAAAATTTCCATAGCACCAACATTGGGTTTTATCTCCATACTGCTACAGTCCAACCAGTCTCGAAACTTGGAAGCTTTTTTGGCTACACATTAAAAGAAAAAGTGAAGAAAATTTAATTTTCAAAGTGTTTTAATACAGCATACTAGTATCACAAAAGGAAAAATATGTCTCCTGAGAATTGCATACAAAAAATAATGCATATAAAATGCAATGTTTCCAAACTTTTATTAATGTCTAGATATTTTAGCCCCAAGAAATCCAAGTTTTAACCCTGTCACAAAGCAACACAATGGCTGCTTTCAAGAAACCCCCTATGCATTTGGGTCCTTTCTATCTACACTATATGACATAGCACAAGGCTAATTCAAAAAGTTTGTGGAAAAATAAAATTAAAAGATAATATGAATCCTTCTTTGAAGACCCCTTATATATTAAACCACTTAATGTTTAACACATCTCACAATGCTTCAGAATAAGTTAACATTGACCTTATGTTACAACAATAGTCAGAAGAGTTATTTCCTTGACGAAACTTTAATTTACTCTTGTGGAAAGAAAATCCTGCAAGAAAAAACCTGTGATGAAAAAAGGAACATACAGAAACTGCATTTCTATTACTTTTCAAACTGTGTCTATTACTAGAATAGGCTCAAAGTTTGAATTCAGAATTAAATAAAATAAACTGATATCTGGACTGATTTAAGCCTGTGAAGATGTCCAAATTCTTAAACCCGACTCTTAAAACCATCCAGACTGATTCCAACCTGCCTTTACATTACTCCCCTCTTAAAGTGTCACATGGCCTTGAGTATAATCCCCTGTGTTCATTCCTGCTTCTCCTTTCCTTTCATGGAATGCTCTCCCATTACTTTTATTCATTCATATGACACTTGACCATAGAGGACAAAGGTATACTCCCTCACTCTAGCCATTTATTGAATACTTACATCATTAGATATCCTCTCATGTTTGCTTATAAGCTCTCAAACCATATTACAAGTGCGTTGAGGTCAAAACTATGACTCACATCTCTCTGCATACCTAACAATACCAAGCAAATATAAAACAAAGTATGTATGGAACCTTCATAAATATCTAAATATCTCTAAACTGCTGCAGTGCTAAGCAGAGTCTAATTTGATATAAGGCCTTCATTAGACATTACTAATTTAACTAGTAATCTAGAAGGAAAGGATTGATAGTGAAGATCTTATCGAATTTATAAAATAATCTTTTTAAAAAAAATCCACTGATTATTCTTTTGATTAATTTGGTCCCACGGGTCTATAAAACACTTAATTGTAACTGAGAGCATGAAGTTTTGATCCTTATAGATAGAATCTTCATAGATTCCATATAGTGAAGAGTTTCTTTTAAATAAATCACAGAAGACGTTAAGTCCTGCTATTGAAGCACATATCCAAAGCTGTCAAATGTGGCAGAATTACGATAATCTCTCTTAAAGCTATCTCCCTAAAGTAACCAATCTTCCAAATATTCTCTGACATGCAAAATCCCATCTAACTAGTAAGCTGCAATAGCTCACAAATACTTGTTTAATATCTGTGGAATACTTCTGAAGTTAATGTGAACAGGCATCAATTTTGTAAGACAATAAAAAGTATCTTATTCACTTCTCCCTTTGACAGATTGTTAGGAACACAGAAACAGATATTTTGTGACTATGCTCTAAACAATTTCAAAGTAAGAAGGATCATTATTAGTATTCAGTCAGATCTATCTACATAAACAACAGAATTAGTAGCTTCCTTGCTAGATTGTAAGCACTGAGAATGTAGGGACGAGGACTACATATCCACCACTGCATACGCAGCACCTAGAATAGAGGAAGGAAGGAAGGGAGGGAGAAAGGAAGTAAGGAAGGAGAAAGAAGGAAGAAAGGAAGAAAGAGTGACAGAAAGAAAGAAGGAATAAGAGAGAAAGAAAGAAAAAAGAAGAGAAATAAACAGAGAGAGAGAGAAAGAGCAAAAGAAAGAGGGAAAGAGAAAGAAAAAGAAAAAGGAAGAGATAGAGAAAAACAGAGAGGGAGAAGAGAAGAGAGAAGGGAGGAGAGAGACTTTCTTTAATAAAAGGGTAAGGTCCAAACTTTTCTACGCAACAAAAAAGATGCACAGAGGTCCCATAAATTACTTGGGTTTTTGCTATTCCACGAACAGGTGAAGACTCTCTGAGCTATTTCTCTCCCTTGTCACCTGGAGAAGGATTTCTTCAGAGATTGACCCTTCCAGGGTACTGCTGGTTCCAGCAAAAGAGGCACAGATATCCTTAGTTATGACAGTTTGTTTCCATCAAGAGGTGAGAGGGCCTCAGAATGAATGAGTTCGTTCTCCTTCACCCCTCTTCCCAAAATATCAGGAGAAAGGGTAACCTGGACATTGACTAACAATTTAAATAAAATCCCCAAAGTTCTTAGAATTATTAGCTTTCTGACACTATCTGGGTTTTCAGCTTGTGGTGGACTTAAAACAACTTTACATAATAATTTCATATGGAAATTTAGAGCTAGTTAACCCACACACTTTTTATCTTTCTTATCAATCATCACTAGCAAAATATAAATTTCTTGCAATATTCCATTCTCTTATTCCTGCATACTGTTTCATGATTTCTACCTCATCCCTTTTTACCAGTCTTTCCATTCCTGATCCTTCCCTCAGGATCCTCTGTAATGCTCATTCTACTCTAAAGAAATTCTTACGCAAATTCAGCCTCTTCAAAGTTAGTGTTCTTTGCATTAATTGAAATTAGCCTTCCTTAAAAGGCATGGTTTCCCTTGGAACCTTCTTATTCCCTTCCTTCTATAAATATTTATTGGGCAACTACTGTTTGCCAGCCTGTTCATTTCCCCATATGGTAGAGGACCTGGAGGCAATATCTTCATTCTCTTAGTTTCTCCCACAGGAAAAATACCAAACAAGTAGACTGACAGCAGATTTCTAGCAACAACGGAGGCCAAAAACAATGGAATCACGTTTTAAATAGCTATGAGCCTACAATTTCTTATATAACTAAATGATCATTTAAGTTTGGGGGCAAAATAAAGCTATTTTAAGAAAAAAATGAGTGCTTTAAGCACTTACAAAACCTCAGGAAAAACAACATTAGGCAGAGAAAGTTTAGATACTTACCAACATAAAAATTTTAAGTCAGGGATGTATACTACAATTTTGAAGTCAGTTACTGAAATAGTACAAATAGAACAAAGTATATACATACTAGAAGAGGAACAATGGAATGAAGAAAACCCAACCAATCCAACAGAATATAGAAAAGGAGGGGGAAAAAATTTAAAAGCACAGTAAATTTAAAACACAAATAAGACAGCATATTCAAACCCTAATGTATCAGTAATTAAATACAAACAAATTGAACTCATCAATTAAAATACAGAGACTGGTCGATTAAAAAGAAAATCTAGCTATTAGTTGTTTATAAAAACCAAATATAAAATAAAAGGTAAGAATGAGAAAACGAAGGAAAGGATGGAAAATTATTTACCAGAAAAATTGTAACGAAAGAAGGCTTTGTGAATCAATATTAATATCAGACTAAAAAAGGCTATGACTATCTGACACAAATGTATAAAAACAAAAGACAGGTGAATTTGACCAGGGTCCCTACAGGTTACCCTCAGCCTATGAAGTTATAGACCCATTATTTTAAAAGGTACCAATAATCACAGTGACTGCTATACATAAAGATATATATGGCAGGATTACAATTCCTATATCCTGGTAATTTACCAGAAGGAGAAGGAGAAAAAGAGCCCAACACTCTGACCGGTGCAGGAATAGTTTCTGAATTTGCTGATCCACTTGTATTAAGCATTCTCAACTACAGTATTCTTTCATATAAAACAGATTCTCCCACCAACATTTCATAATGAAGCACCTTTGGGTGCCACGTAAACAAATATTTTTAAATGACTGAATCCATCCCCTCTAAAGAAAAGAAAATTAAGCATAATATACTGTTTACACTATAACTGTTTTACACAGAAAGGGAAAAATATTAATCTTCAATGTAACACATTTATCACTGAGTTAAAAACAAAAAACAACGAAACAAAAAATCTGATTTTCAAACTAAAGTCTTATTAGGAGATTTTAAGACTGTCAGTTTTAGTGTGAAATAGCACTTCTGTTCCTTTAAGTGATTAAATCTAAAATATAATTTTAAGAAATAGTTCAACTGCAATAAACATTACTTTATAAACTGGAGATTTATACTTATAAAATACTTGAATGCCATTTTTAAACCTAAAAATTACAATACAAAAACCTCTCATTTACTGAAATTGCCATGATCTGAAGTGTCATTTACTTAATGCTTCACAGATGTATGATGCCAAATTGTTAGTCAGATTCGAAAGTATATTTAGTTAGAAAAAAAAAATCTTCCAAAACATGTTTTCCTATATTTTACTGACATTTACATGGGGGCACTATTTGAAATGTGTCATTTATCTACACTTTATGACGTATAAATGAAGCTCTCATTTTCTTTTTTCAAATCAAATACACTGTTATTGTGACCACAGAACAGTTTTCATTTAAAGACACCATTGTTTCTATAATCCCTCAGACAAGGGTCATGTGATACTTTGTCATATTTTTAACTGGACTTTTCATCACACTTTCTCTTTGCCCTTTACCCCAAGAGTCTTAGTCATCACTGAACTGTTGCTGTAAGGATGTTTTGCTACACAATTTAGCCCACTATCATGAGTCTTTATATGCGTTTAATAAAATGGTGTGCGGTGATGGGAAAGTACTAATTTTACCAGGAGGTTATTAGTGTTCCAAGAGCATGAACTAATGAATTTGGCTAACACTGAATGCATGCCACAGTAGGAGGTTAAAGACAAAAATGGAAGAGACTACTGATATGTTCTTTTGTGATAATATGATATGCATAAGAGGAAAGTTTGGTATTTATAATTAATATCGGGGGCTTTTAAATGTCATGACTGTACTACTAGAGTTCATTATGGGTCAAGCACAATCAGCAATAGGAATGTAAATATGACTAACAAACTGAAACAGAAATTAAAACGGGAATATTAAGGAAAACGGAATTTTTTCTGACTAAAAGTAATGTGAATAATTAACATGGTTCTCTGTGTACTATGAGTATCCTTCATAACCTCTTAATACCATTAACTGCAAAACAGTAGAATGTGGTAAAATCTTTAATAGGCTCCCCCACAATGCAGAGGTTGTTTCTGTAAGTTATAACTATGCATACATTAAATCCACCAATTTCTAAGGAACAGAGATCATGTCATACTGTAGCACATCTGTAACACAATCCCTTATACATATAATTAAGCAAAGTTAAATGCTTAACTTACAGAAACTTAACTGTCGACTTTCACAGAATTCTGCATATTGAGCTGAATCCATAATTCGAGTTTGTCTTTCTGCTCTCTAAAACATAAAAAATAAAAAGACACAAAAAAGTTTAAAGCACGTAGATCATTCTACATGTTTTTACAGCTAAAACTTAGAGTTGAAGTACCATTTTCCTTTTCTTACTCTAGGTAAACAGTTTAGTACTACCATTTATATATACCATGACACATAAAATTATAAATAACAGTAGTTGTGCAGTTTATTTCTTTTGGAAATAGAGTTTAAAACATTATTTTCTGCTCCTCTTTTACTGATACTAAAACTAAAGGAACTTACTTCTTAGATTGTGTACTTCTAAAATTTCTTACTTGTACCATCCTTTTAAAGAAACAGAAAACTCGTGAGGGGATAATAAATCAAACGGAAAATCTGTTATTAACTATAATTGTACATCTGTGATTTTTCAATGTTAAAACAGGAGTCAGTGAATGAAATCCATATATTTTCCCACAGTTAGAACATGAAGCCAGAATTAACAAATCCATATTTAAATTGGAAAACGAAAGAAAGAGAGAAAAAGGTAAATACAACATAGATCCTTTAATCTGAGTCCAGGTATGATTCAGTTTGGTATAGTTTCATTCATGGGTTTTTTGATTCAGTGTAGCAGATGTTTGCTGCTTCACTGTCCCACAAGAGATAGGATAATTATAATCCACCCATACTTTGGTGGGAAAGAATATGACCGCTTCCACTTCCTTAGTAAGGGAAGCATTTTGAAACAAGACAGGCTGGTACTTCTTGGAATAAGTTTCTTGCCTATAAAGGAAAAAATACCCTGAGATTTTAAATTTTCTTCTGCTTTGGAATATCTTTCAGCAAGTTATCTTTATCACAGTTGCTGGAGCACATAAATACCACTTCTTTTAACGACTATGGATGTTTTGTATTTTTAAAACTGAAATTATTATTTCTTCTTTTTGTTTGATTTTGGTGAGTGGTCAATTCCAATGATATGTTAGTTGAGGGAATAAATAATGGTACACTTGTTGTAGCTTAATACAGAAAAGATAGATGGGTCAGTGAGAATTAAAGAAAAAAAATGACTAACTACTGTGGTTCCTTCTAAGATCATTATTTTTTCCTTCCTTATCTTTCTCTCCCTGCTTTTTCTTCATTCCTTTCTTTCCTTCCCTCTCTCCCAAACATACATAAGTGCAGGCACAAACCCAGACTTCTCTTGCTTATTTATTCTCTAGATTCAAGTATCCTTTTTGAGCATGTACAAGAAAATCTTTTGTATATATAAAGCACGTACAAGCAAATATTTATATATATATATAATACCATACACACACATGGTATTTATATACACACATATATATGCATATATATGTGCATAGGTATCCTCTTGTGCATTTATCAGAAACATCATGTCTCCTTAAAGGTATATTATTGTGTGAATTTTTATGCATTTGGAAGTATTTTTTGATATATAAATGTATGATTTAGTTTTGTCCTTTTTAATGTATCTGACACATGACTCAATAACTGTTCGCTGATGGAAAACAGAAAGCAAGGAAGGGAAAATTTATTTAAGTATTTTGAACATAACAAGGTACTAATGTGTTTATTTAAAAAAATCCCTCTAAGACTGATAACACAGCATCACTCATATGTATCTATGTTTGGTTGTATATTGTATATACATAGATATACACATATACCCACATGTACACATACACAGTTGACCACCGAACAACATGGGCAGGTTAGGGGCACCAATCCCCCACACAGTTGAGAATCCACATATAACTTTTGACCCCCCAAAACTTTACTAAATATCCTATTTAGTAAACAGACTGGAAGCTGATAACATAAACAGTTGATTAACACATATTTTGTATGTTATATGAATTATGTACTGCATTCTTATAATAAAGTAAGAGAGAGAAAAGAAAATGTTAAAAAATAATAAGAGAAACTGCATTTATAGTACTGTACTGTATATATCGATACCTTGAGTTTTTTCTATTGAAAAAAAAAATCTGTTTATAAGTGATTCAAACCCATGCTGCTCAAACTCATGTTGTTCCAAGGTCAATTGTACATCTGTTTGTCTGTGTCTGACTATAGCAGGAACTTCTCAGGTCTGAATTTCCAGCTCCTAGAAGAAATATCTGACATACAGTAAATAAGAAATAAACATTTTTTTTTCCTTTTTGTCTTTTTTACTGACTGGCAACGGGATCGCAACCCTCGGTGCTGCGCCCACACTGTGCTCAGCCAGTGAGCAGGAACTGGTCTCCACATGGGATCCGAACCCTCGGCGGGAGCGCCGCCACGCTCCCAAGTGGTGCACTCTCCAGTGCGCCACCAGGCCGGCCCAGAAATAAACATTTTTTGAATGAACAAATGCTACCATTTTACAGGGCAAATGACTATCACCATAATGCAAGTAGTCCTTGATTATCTATGCATTCCTACATATCTTCTCTGCTACTCTCTAGCTAGTCAACGTCATCCACCCAACACATGGCTAGAAAGAAAGGACTTAGATAACTATGGAGAAAGAAAGTTCTTAAAGAGATTCTTAACACTAACTTTTTCTTCCACTAAGTGGGAAAATAAGGATTTGGTTTCTGTATATATGATTAGATACTTGACGTATTTGCAATAAGTGTTTCTAGAAATGAAAGTTAGGAAAATATCCCAAGAGGTTAAGGTTCACAGGATTGCCAGCTTTAATTATGTGAGGTGGTTAGCTAGTTGGAAGATTCTGAACTGCAAAGTTTATCATCTGACTACATTTCAAAGATACCCATAAATGTGAAGAACTTTAAATTATTACAGCTACCTTCATTTATTTCAGACACCCTCTCCAGTGCCTATTCTCTTTTCTTCATTAAGCACCTCAGTTCTTTTTCAATCTAAGCAGTAATCTTTGATCTGAACAGTCGCATGAAGCTGGCCCTAGGGTATACATAGGAAGTCACTTACCCAGGGCCTAGCACACAGGAAACGTTCAATGCAAAGTGGCTGAGTCAAAAGCAATGATTTATAGACAATACAGAAACATGGGAACAAGAACTAGAGGGCAGCTTAAAGTTTATCTTGTTCAAGCCCCTCCATTTTAAAGATAAGGAAATTGAGGTTCAGAGAGAAGTGATTTGTTAAAGGTGACTAAGTTAGAACCAAAGCCCAGGACTCCCTCCTCACCCACCCAATTTTCATCATAAAAAGTGGTCTCCAGCCTGTAGTAATTATTTTACTCCAGTGTTTGCCTTTGAGATCCTCTAAATTCCATATACTGTCTTACTAAAACATATCATGTAGCCACCGCAATTAACATGCCCAAACTGTTCATGAGAAAAGAAATTAGTCAGCAAAGTCACAACCTGGAGATAATCTAATACGAAGTGTACAAAATGTAGTGCATCTGCTAGTTAGTGCATGAGTGTGCTGCAAACACATCACAAGTATGTAGAGATATTGATTCCCCTCAGTCCTCTGAATGCCAGGTAAAGCTGAGGTAGCAGAACCTCTAGGTTGGTATCTGTCTACAAGTTGCCTTGTCCATTTACCTTGGTGTGCCATAAAAACATTACCATTTTCTATGTGTGCCGTGATGTAAAAAAGATTGGGAAGCACTTGTACTAATAATGATGTCTTTGAATGTTACATGTCACAGCATATACATGCTATTCACAGCATGGTCAAGGGAACTCATGAAATCAGTGATACTTTGCACTTAGTACACTGACTTGGATTTGAGGATGATGAATATGATGTATGACTCAGATATGCTTATCATCTAATTTTTGTTTATTTCTCTCTCTTCCCCATGAATTGTTTCAAAAAGCCAAAAGAAAGGGACAAATTTTGGCCATATAATATGATCCAAGTCATTCATTGTCTGATTATTATACTTTGTCCTTACACTATCATATTAAGTGCTAAGAAAGGCAGTACATATCTAACCTTCATGGAATATGTGTTCTTTAAAGATAGGAACTGTTCTTTGCTTCTGTAATCTTAGTGTTGAAAAAATGCTTTGCTTGGGTTTATCTGGGCTTCAGTAAGTGACTGCTGGCTAGCTGAGTGAATGGAAAGACGAATGGATGGACTGAGGCAAAAGAAATGCACTTAAGTCCTTGCTGGATGATCTAAGACCAGGAACGGTAAGAATTATAATCAGATTGTATGAATTCCAGAAAGGGTAGGCAGTTTTCATGCTAAAGACCCACTAAGAAATCAAAACAATTGACAAATATTAAATAAGTTTGGCTCTTATTTTCTGAGGTGCCTTATTTCCACTTTCCCCTCTGAGTTTATTCAGATCACCTATTCCAATCAATCCATACTAAGATGTTCATTGGCAGTAGTCCTTTTCTATTCCTGGCACTGTAAGAAATCTCTGGAAAAAGATGCAAGGGGGAAAAATACCCAATCAGTCCAGTAAAACAACATGATCAGAATGATAATGCCTACTCTTTACATACAGCAGAACAATACCTTTAATCTAAAAGTTTTAATAGCTCCATTTTACAATTGAGGACACTTTGACTCAAAGAAGTTAAAGAAAAACTTTAAAAACATACAGTTAATAAAGAGGCAAAGTTAGAAGTAAAACTTAGGTCTTAAACACCTACTCTAAGGTATACAAAGTTTCTCAGAAAAGAGTTACTAATCTATATAATATTAACTGTAATGAAGGTTGTAATCCCTTTAGGTTCTAGCTTCTTCTGGATCAAATATTAAAATACAAACTTAATTTTAAGAGGCACTTTAAAAAGGAATTAAAAAATTCATGTGACCATTCCATATGGTCATGAAACTGGAATACAAAAGACATCATATAGTTAGAACGTTAAAAACACAAATCTCTGAAATAAAAATCACTGAATAATCATAGCTGGTTCATCATAGCTTTCATTCACACTGAACATTACACAAATTCTCAAATTATACAATGCTCTCCTGATCTCAGACTGCCACATGAATGTAAGGCCATCTCTGGATTAGTCATGCTTTTGTATCTGCAAGTCCAGTTCATTTTCTGCTTATTAATCTGTCAATTCTACCC